ATAGCATTTTCTGAAGTTCTGCATTCTCCAACTATTTCATAAATTCATCTGAGTTTCTGAAAATTCCATAATCCTCACGTCTGCCCCAAACACAGGCTCATGTGTATACAAGTGTGCACACACATACACACACGTACATGAAGAACTACTACTTTAGGCCAGGCGTGGTGGCTCACACCTGTAATCCTAGCACTTTGGTAGGCTGAGGCGGGTGGACTCGTGAGGTCAGGAGTTCGAAACCAGCCTGACCAATATGGTGAAACCCCCGTCTCTACTAAAAAATGTTCAAAAATTAGACTGGGCTGGTGGTGTGCAACTGCAGTCCCAGCTACTTGGGAGGCTGAGACAGGAGAATTGCTTGAACCTGGGAGGCGGAGGCTGCAGTGAACCAAGATCTTGCCACTGAACTCCAGCCTGGGTGACAGAGCGAGACTCCATCTCAAAAAAAAAAAAAAAAAAAAAAGAATTACTACTTTAGGCAAGCCCCTGGACAGAAAGGGACTGTCAAATAAAAGAGAAAAAGTAGATTTAATAAAACAAGGCTGAAAGCTGCAAACATACTGCTTAGAAAGTACGGGTAGTGGAAATTATAATGATATAATGATGACCATCTCAAACCAGAAAAAGGGGCTGTGAATTCAAGACCTGGCTTGGCTACAAATTCACTACCGGTCCTTGGGCAAATCTGAGACTCATGAAAATCAGAGTTGGGGTTCCTTTGACATCATCTATGCCACCCTCCTCCTCCCATCTCACAGATGGAGAAAGTGCAGCTCAGAGGAAAGTTAGACATTCACTAAACTCATAGCAAATTAATTAGAGCCAGGATTTGAACCTCAGACTCAGTCAACTGATTTCTACTCTCCGAACCTCTGTACTGTGAGGTGCAAGGTAAGTACTTAGGTCCAATGTTCTCTAAGTAATCTTCTGTCAGATGGGTAACAATTACTACACTCTTCTCCAGACCTGGAAGTCCCCATGTACATATGAGTTTCATTTTGGCAATGATGATACTAGCTGTTTCTCAGTCCCAGCCCATTCCCACAAGAATAAGGCAGAAGGGTCTGAAATAAGAGAGAAAGGTCTGAAACAGTGAGAGACACTGCTATTAATGCTGTGCAGCGCAGCAATTGGGAATTGCAGGCCTTGAACTAGACTTCATTGTGTTGGCTATTACTCTTCTGTCCTCTTGCTTATTAAATCCCTCATCTGTCTTCTCTTTTTTAACGTTCCCCAACAATGTTCAGTAAACAGCCAGCTAGGAGCTCATTCTCAGATTCCTTTAATTCACTGGTTCGGAAAAAGGCAGGAGGAGGGTGGAGGAGAGTGATGATGTCAGCAGCAAACAACCTCATCCAGGAAGCACTGCAAGGGAATCCACAGTCTTTTAATAAACACGGAGAGCAGAAGCTAGCCGGAACCCTCTGTGCCATGTCTTCATGAAATTAATGAAGATACCTGGAGTCCATTTATGTTTTAAGGACATCTCACATCCCCATGGTGAAAATGAAATTGGTTTTGCTTGAAAGATAATGACCTTTTAAGAACTAGGAAGCAAAAGGAGAGTTTATAGAAAAAGATTTCTCTACTTAAAGATACAAGTATGGAGTCAGAAGAATTCTAGTCCGAGATCAGTCAACAACGCTTTAGACAAGTCAGATTCCCTCCCAGACACTAAAATCTCCATCTGTGAAATGAAGGAATTTGTTTAAATTATTTTGTAAAGTCCCCTCTGGCTTTGACATTCTGATCTGCTTTACAGATCCAATGATTTGCTCTGGAAAAAGCAAATAATGGAAGAAGCATCCACCTCTTCCTAACAGTCTTAATAGGGGGGCAGTTTACCCAGATCAGGGAACAATGTCACAGAGTGAAGAAATGTAGGGGAAGACGGCTTTTCTTCCCTAACAAGGAAATGCAAGTTGCTGAGGTAAGGGACTACCGCTACCGGTATATAAACGCCCATTCTTACAGTATACATAATGCAAGTCATTAACTGCATTTCTGGTATGTAAAAGAAGCAAAGGCTAAACAGAAGAATAACTGTTTTCCCCCAGTGGCTGTGCAGTAGAGTCATAGGACTGTCCTGTGATTTTGGAAACACGGCACCAGGAGAGAGAAGGGACTGGCTAGGAAATAAAAACATATGTAAGAGAACATTTAACCAGAAGTAATGCCACGATCAACTGGTCCAACTTTGTCATTAGATGATGAAACAGACCTCATAGAGGGAAGGTGACTTGCCCAGGTGACACAGCCAGGTGACATTACAGCTGGGATTAGAAAAGGATTCTCATGGCTTCTGGTGAACATAATATACAACATATTGCTTTGCTCCCAAAAACAATGTGATTCGATTCAGGTTATTACAAAATAATTTCACTTATAACTATTGCCTCTACCTCCACTTCAAAAAATGGTATTTAAAGCAGACTAGGACTGTTTCCACCAAATTATACTAAACAGTTCACTCTGGCAATATAGACAAGTGCATGAGATTTAATTGGGTATTATTCATCCCTGCTAATGAATCACCCTGTGGAAAACAGGGATAATCAACCGTCTACAAGAGGCCAGAAGCCTGTTCTCGTTCAAGTACAGAACTTGCCTATTAAAGAACATGAGGTATCAGCTCTAAATAGTAAACAGGGTATACTGTTTCAGATTCCATGGAGTGCAGCTTTAAATAGATTCGGTTTGGAAATGGGACAGAGAACACACCGCAGTCAGTGGATCAACGTTGAGAGCAGGGAAAAACAATGATTACACTCATTAAGTGGGTACCTGTTGACACATTTACTGTCAAGTCTAATTATTTATTGAAACTGTTATTCTTTCTTCATTACTGCCACTCATACCAATTATTACCACAAGATTATTATAAATTTCTACAGCATGCTCCCAGAATATTTACTTCTCCTTTAGGCCAAACCTCCCAAAGTTTACTTGAGAGGCTTCTATTATTCCCTCTCCACCATTCCCCACCTCCGAAACATAACAAAAAGAGAAAGAGAGAACATTCCTCTTTCTTGAGAGTAATTTTTATAACCTTTCAGAACTTGATTAAAACTCCCCTTGATAGTTTCAAGATGGGTTTCTGTGGGGACAGGGGGTACAGTTAACTACTTTTCAAAGCTTATTCTATTAATATTTAACAATTGGCATTGGAGGGAAGGTTAGTGTGATAACTGCAGTTTCTAAATAAACAAGTTAGATCTCTGCCTCACAGAGCTCTATCTGTCATAAAAACTATGACAGTAGGTATCTACGGTACATTCTTTTCTGATATATTTATCCATAAAAATAAAACATTAGACATAAGCTTTTACAGGGTTATTTTGTGGACTAGACAAGAAATAAAAGGTGGACAGTAGCCATTCTTACATTTTTCGCTACTACATTTTTTAAAACAACGTTCTCTGTTTCTGTGTTAATTTGCTGAGAATGATGGCTTCCAAACACCACATGTTCTCACTCATAAGTGGGAGCTGAACGAGAACATGGACACAGGGAGGGGAACATCACACTTTGGGGCCTGTTGAGGGGTAGGGAGCAAGGGGAGGAAAAGCATTAGGACAAATCCTAATGCATGCAGGGCTTAAAACCTGGATGACGGGTTTATAGGTGCAGCAAACCACCACGGCACATGTATACCTATGTAACAATCCTGCACATTCTGCACATGTATCCTATAACTTAAAGTAAAATAATATAAAATAAATAAAAAGAAAACTTCCTGGGTAAACTAGCTTATATTCCACTTGAAACATAAATAAATAATAAAAAAATAAAAACAATATTCTTTTTTGTAGGAATGAGAAGAAAATCTAAATAACTTAAGTGGCTGTTACGTCTGATTTAATGATAGAAATTTCATAGTCCATACGTAACCTACCTTGTTTGCACATGTATTCTTATTAGCTTTGAAAATCATGTAAACCTAACACCTTAATTTCCTCTCAATTCTAAATTTTCTAAGTCCTACAAATTTGGGGCAACACCAACCAACTTGATTTTTCTCAAAGGTCTATGCGACTAAAGTCACAGTTGCGGTTCAAGGTCATAGATACCATACAGCAAAAGAAGTAACAAAATATCCAGCAGAACACACGTGTATAGTACTTCAAGTAATGATATCAAATCTTCTACAAAGTTACTATTCTACATATTGTCTACTTCATCTCTTTTTGGCTAAGTTCTGAAACATTACATAAAACACAGTAGAGCTCATTAAGAGGTACAGATTCAGCAGGTTAACTACAGGAGAAAAATTGCATCTGGTAGATTTTACAACTATGATGCTTCTTTTAAAATTTGTTTCCCATTGGCCTCCATTTTCTTGGCAAACTCAAGACAAATGTATTCCTCTGCCAAGGATTGGTGTCCTTCCCAACGGTCCCCCAGGAGAGTGGCATTCAGATACAATGGATCCAAAGTTTCAAAAGACTAACTCAATTTTCTGTGTTCTTAGGATTTCGCTGTTGCGGCTTTAGATTCTAGCTTTTTGAAATGATTTTGTTTGGCAGCTAAGAGACAGTGACTGACCCAGCCAGAAATATTTGGCCCCTTCAGAACCAGGTAACACTGGCAGCATAGTGTAGTGAAAAATGCACTCAATCAAGGGTTAGGAAACCAGGTAAAAAGTGCTCCTGCCACATACTAGTTGAGGATACAATAAAATAATGGGTAAGAACATTCTACTCCATTGCATTTTATGGACACTTAAATACATACACATTAAATCTGAATCATCTGTGTGGCCCAGATTTGGGGTTTTAGTATTAAACCTTAAGGGTTATGAATTAAAAGGGAAAAAATAAATAAATTAAAAAGACAAAAATAAAGAGAGGCCAGCTCACTGTCTTGGCCATTTTTTGGTTCTTTTCCTCATAAAGTACCTTTGTATTTCTTCTATTCTTTGTATTTCTTCTAAAATCAGCATTACTGGGTCAGATGCCTATTAGTATTTCATAAACATGAAGACATGCCTCCTCCGTTACCTTAGATAGCTGGCTCCTGGAATGGACAATGGACACAAGGTTCAGCCAACTGCAGTGCAAGTATCTGCAAATGAAATAAGTAAAAATTACTTCCAGACACCAAGCCTATATTTATTCATTAATAGTCATAACCTCTTATATCTACATAATGGTTTCTTGTTTTACAAAACATTTTCACATTCATTTCACCCCACAGGAACCCGATGAAGAAGCAGGAAGGGATGATTCTACTCACTTCGTAGGTAAGGAAACAGAAGCTCGAAGAGGGACAGAAAGGTTGAGAAGGGAACTAACACCGTCCTTATGATTAACTTCACAGAAACCATATAAAATGAACATTATTGTCCACATTTTACAGAAGTAGAAACTGAAGTTCACAAAAAGAAAGTAATTCACCCAAGATTATACAGTTTAGTATCTGGCAAGGCATGAGTTTGGAGCCAAAGGCTGTGCCTGCTGGTCCAGTAATCCTTCCTTTCTACTTTAGTTTTTTCTAGGTTATTAGGCTGGGGAAAGACAAGGACAAACAATAACGCATTGTCTTAATTCACAAGGCTTGGTGGAGAGAGAAAATAAAATAAAACCAGCTATTTGATTGAAATGAGGAAATGGGAAAAGTACATAGCATTTCGAGCCAGTCAGATTTCCTTTTACCAGTGGTCTTAGGCAAGTTATTTAAACTCCATGAGTGTCAATTTCTTCATATGTACATGAAGATTATGATATATACTCCATAGCCAAAGCTGCCCTTAGTTAAACTTTTTAAATCAGATTTCTCTCCATTATTCCATACATACGGTTATAGAGAACAGCGATAACATTTCTTCCCATAAATCCACATTTATATGATCAAAAGATAACATTATAAGCACGTGAGGCAAGAGAATATCTCTGGCTGGAATATTTCTTTGACTTATGTCTCCTAATTTTAAAATACTGCAATATTAATCTATGTCACTCTCACATGACCTCATCTAATAAGAGACAGCCCAAAAACTTTTAAGATTTTAACATCAAATGTTTCCTTGACCCCTAAAAAGCAAAACAGATACTGCTTTAGTTGAAAGACCTGCTGATGAATCACACATCATTTTCAACTTCGTGCCTATAATCATGCCCTAGGTTCAGAGAGTTGGAGTTTCCAGCAGACTCTAAGAACAAAGCAAATTTGTTGTAATAGAATGGATAGATTTATTGAGAAATATAAGACTTCTAGGAAGTTTTGATAAAATGTCCCGTTTACATAAAGGACTCAAATCAGGTTGAGAAAAGAACATGGATCCTGCAACTATATCCCTGAACTTAAAATAAAAGCTTCAAAAACAAAACAAAACAAAACAAACAAACAAAAAAAGCATGATTGATCAGATGCCCTGCAAGAAACTTGTCATCTGCCACCAACTGAAAACATGATTCGTCTTTTAACATCATGCTTTATTTTATAGCTCGAAAAATCACAATGACGATTATGTCTTAAACCATCCCCTTTATAACTCCAGTGAGACCCTATTGCCCAAATTTTACAAATACAGAAACCAAACTTCAAAGATCACATGGTTAACATGGAGCAGATAAAAATGTAACACTGTACCTTGATACCAAAATCAGTAAGCACCCTTCTACTACATGGTGTAGCCTCCCAATTGGTAGTGTGCTATTTGAAGAGGGTAACTAAATCACTTCAGGAAAGGGAAACTGAGTGCATAGCACAGAAAATTCCATTGTCAAAGCACTAAAGCACACTTAGTTCTAAGTTCTGCTTTACTAGCAAGTGTAAGGAGAAAGAGTAGACTTCACATCTGTGGTCTAACCAGAAGGTGACACATAACTAAGCTAAGGCAAAAGGAGTGTTCGATGCAGTGTTACCATAAACACTTTCTCAGATCTCACCAGGAAAGTTTCAAGATGCAATATCCCTGGGCAAAGTGTTGAAGCACAGTCATATATGCAAGTCTGTACCAGTGAGGTTTTGTGAAGAGTCTGATACAGTTTGACTGTGCCCACACCGAAAATGTCATCTTGAATTGTAGTCCCCATGAGTCAAGGGTGATACCAGGTGGAAGTAATCCGATCATGGGGGCAATTTCCCCCATGCTGTTCTCATGATAGTGAGTGAGTCTCACGAGATCTGATAGATTTATAAGCATCTGGCATTTCTCCTGCTTGCACTCACTCTTTCTTGCCACTCTGTGAAGAAGGTGCCTGTTCCTCCTTTACCTTTCGCCATGATTATAAGTTTCCTGAGGCCTCCCCAGCAATGTGGAACTGTGAGTCAATTAAACTTCTTTCTTTAGAAATTATGTGGTCTCTGGCAGTTCTTTATAGCAGCATGAGAATGGACTAATACAAATCCTTCACCAATAAGTCTCATTTTAAGCAACAGGAAAGCTAAAGTCTTTCTAGCTAAGAAGTTCACCAGCCCTCTTCACGTGGATTGAGTGGCATGTGTCCTGAGTAGCTCCTGCCTGAGTATTTCATAATGCAAGGGAGTTTTCCATAATTCCATACAGACATCTGGGACAACTGACAAATCCCACTCTAGCCTTTCGGTAATGAAGCCAGTTATCCTTGGCTGCCTCTGTGTATTTTATAACTAACTGCTGACCCAGAACCTGACATGTCTGCATCCTTTGTCAAACCATTCGTCCTCTCTGCTCTCAAAACTATGCTCACCCTCAGAAGCAATTTTTCAGAAGCAACTGTATTTTGGAGAAAAACAGGATAGAGTAAATGAAGGTAAGATAATAAAGAGAGAGAAGCAAGAAAAACGACAGGGGGTAAGGAAAAAGCAGAAGAAAATGGAATGACATGGGAAATGAAAAGTGCAGAGATCAGTTGCAATGGGTTTTTCACAAACCATGGTGTCCTTTGAATTTACCACCACACCCCACAACAAAATGTAACCATCCCTAAGATGATTATCTCAGTATTATGAACAAAAATTCTACGTGGTATTGAACCAGTATAAAGCTAACTCAAGATACTTGATATTTTTGTAAGTGCTTTAGTACAAATAAGCAATATGACAGTATCTTATAAAAACTCCCACTAAGTCAATAAAGTGGCACCTCTTTAGCTCTGGTGTCTCAAATATTCATTCTGAATAGGGAGCATCATATTGAAAAGAATAATAAAATGGGGATTGAGGAACTCGGTTCTGGTTTTAGTGTGTAATTATCAAATCTTTTGATTAGAAGTTGCATAAAATACACATTCTGCGTTTCTCTTTTCACAGTTCTTGACTATGGTTATTCCAAAACCACTGTGAAAAGGCCAATAATAATTTGGTCATTTTCATAAGTTTCATGTGGCAACAGAGGTATAGCAGGAAAAGGATTACTTATACTAACATTTATTAAAATAAAACAATGTTTTAAACATAGAAGTCTGTCCCCAGAAGCAACTGAAATGTTAAATCAGGCTGAAGGAATTAGATGACAAATATGGCCCTGCATTCCAATTATCAAATACCACATACAACTTAAAGTGCACTCTCATGCCACCCTAAGATCCTTATCAAGAATACAAGATATTCCATAGCTTATGATTTGGTTGTCTCATTAAAGTAATGTTTGCCAGGATTTAATTGCTTCCCTCTCTGATTTTAATTTCCTCACCTGTCAGCATCTATCAGAGGCACTGAAATCTTCTGACATCTGGTTGATTGTGTTGAAATTAATCAGATTTTTTAAAAGTAAATTGCTTTGGCCTAAAGGTAATGCTCAACTTCTTAATGTTATATTTATAAGGGCTCTATCAATGGAATATATAATCTAGAAATAAAATGAGAGACTTTAGGAATTTCGAGCAGAAATATAAGTAGCTTACAAACCTCCAGCACTGGACTTTTAAAGATAAGGACTTTAAAAGTGGCATCAGTAGCATGGCCAACCAGAAGCCCCTAGCTCTCGTCTCCTTCACAAAGACAACCACAACAACAATCAACAACTAAACTTTAACAAAAATAACTGGGCCAGGTGTGATGGTTCGTGCCTGTAGTCCCAGCACTCTGGGAGGCCAAGATGAGTTTTTTTTGTTTTGTTTGGTTTTGAGCTCTGGAGTTCGACAGCAGCCTGGGCAACATAGGGAAACCCCATCACTATATAGAAAAAAACAAACAAACAAAAAAAACTAAAAACAAAAGAAGAAAAAATAATAACTAAGACAGAGTACCAGACTGCATTAGAGAAGTAACAGAAGCCCCGGAGAGCAAGAAACTCAGAATAACCACATAGAGAATAGAAACAAAACACCTGGTCTTTACCACCCATCACCCACTTGGGATCCGCTGGGAACAGGGAGGAACTTCTCTCTGGGGTAGAATGGTAAGCAAGAGGATCCCAGCAAGTCCTATCCACACCTTGAACAGCTACAGACCTCACCCATGAAGTCTCATGTAGTCCTCACAGGAGCTAAGTCCCAGCTGAGGGACCTGCCTGAAGTCCACACAGCTGTGCTCCCCCAAGAAAAAGAGCAACCAATGTGCCCTGCCATCTGTGGCCTGTGCAGCTACTACACTACGCCATCTTGGAACTGGAACTTTGGCTGGAGTGTGTCTTGCTCTGGGAGTGCGTAGCTATGACACTCTTTCATCACTGAGGCTAAGTCACTGTTGAACCAACCCCAACCCAGTGGCCCAACATCCCCAAGCTGAGCTCCCAGCAACTGTTCCGCTCTTCCCCATGGGCCCATGTGAAGGTAGAGTCACTTCATCTACCTTTCACCCTGCCCCTCAGGCCAATGCTGAAGCAGTACCCTGCCTCCTGGGAAAACAGTACATGGGCCACTCAGAGCAGTCACACACCCCAGTACTTAATCTGAAGTAGCACCTTTCATCCCACGGAAATGGTACCGTACCTGGGCTGCCTAGAAAAGTCATGTCCCCCAGGCCTGAGCTGAAGTGGCACATTGCCCCCTGGTGAATTGGTGCCATTGCTCAGCTGAGCAGCTGTACATCCCAAGGCTGAGCTGATGTGATAACCCACATCCTAAGAAAACAGAGTAGTGGCTGGGCTGATCTGAGACACTCCACCCTACAGGGCAAACAACTCTAATACGCTGTTT